ATGCCCGTCCGCTCGTCCCGGGCCGCCCAACCTGCCGGGCCGGTTCTCGGGGAGACGCGGCTGCCCTGGGAGCTGGGGACTCGGGTGCCGCCCCTGCCCGCCGGGGCCCGGGTGGCGCTGTCGCTGCAGATGTCCCCAAAACAAGTGAATTAGCTGAGAAGCGGGCAGGAAAGGGAAATACTTTGCTGTGAGACTCTCGTTTCCCTCGTCTCGGTGGCAGTAACGAGAACTGTGATTATCTTAGGGAAAGCGGTTTTACAAGGAATTCAGCTTCACGTAAATAATAAAACTGCTTTGCTAAAACAAAAGCCAGACAACACCCTTACGTCCCAAATGTTAAAAAGTATAACAGTTCTCTTTTAAATTTTGGATAAACTTAGAGTTGTTTTTGCTTATTCAGGGCCGACTACTGGAAGTCACAACCAAAGAAGTTCTGTGATTACTGCAAGTGCTGGATAGCAGACAACAGGCCTGTATGAAATTTCTAGTAACATATTCATGTGACGTGTTGCTTTTTGATCTAAGAGTTTGCAAGCGACTTTCATGTATAGTGAGTGCTCCTGATTATTTTCCCAAAACCTAGAAAGATGCCTTTTGTTTTGATTCCGCTTATGAAAGCTACGGTCCTCTTCATCAGTCTAACTTTGATTTCAAGGCCTATTTCTGTGGCCTTTGAGGAAATGGACCGTGAGTGGGTAATCTCATCCATGTTTATGGAACTCCTGCCTCTTAAAAAGAATATTTTCCTTTCTCTTTTATGTTTCTTGTTCTCAGAGAAATTTGGAAGAACATCATTGTCCCCCTCATGAAATATAAACATAGTAACGATTTATCTTTGTAAGCTAGCTGGTTTTGTTTTGTTTTTGAGACAGGTTTTCTCTAGGTATCTCTGACTGTCCTGGAACTGGCTTTATAGACCAGACTGACCTCGAACCAGAGAACCAGAGAACCGCCTGCCTCTGCCTCTCTGGTGGGATTGAAGACGTGCGCCACCACCCGATTAATAACTCCAGCTTTTAAAGCATAAAGCAAAAAAGGCTTTCTTCCCTCTCAGATGTGTCATAACAGTACAAGCATACTATAGTAGAAACTTGGCTCCGTAGTGAAAAGCGCCTACAGCTTTTGCAGAGGGCTGGTATTCGGCCCCCAGCAGCACGTGGCAGTTCACAACCACCTGTGACTCCAGTTCCAGGTGCTCCAGCAACAGCTTCCTCTGACCTTCCTTGGTGGCTGTACTCCTGTGGCACTTATGAACCTACACAGTCACGCACGCCCACAAAATAAGTTTTAAAAAGCTACAGTGTCTTGCCAGGCAGTGGGGCACCAGCCTTTGATCCCAGCACTGGGGAGGCAGAGGCAGGTGGATCTCTGAGCTCCAGGCAAGCCTGCTTTACAGAGTGAGTTCCTGGACAGCCAGAACTACACAGAGAAAGCCTGTCTCGAGAAACAAAACGAAAGAAAACCAAAAGCAACGGTGTGTTATATATACATAACCTTTTCACTGGGCAGAACTGTTGTGAACGAAAAATGTTGCCAGCTTTCACCCTGTATTCCCTCGGTAAACACCTCTAAGTTGCCTGGAAGGTCTTTGGCCTTGAGGAGTATTGCTCTTCTGTTTTGGTCTTACTGATGGTTGCTAAAGAGTGTGCATATTTTGTTTGGCGTAGACTAATACTTACCAAAACTGCCATGAGGTTTTAAAACCACACAGCACCTGGGGGTACCTAGGCAGAAAAGTGAATTTTGTGAGTTATTGAAAAATAAATTATCTTTCCAGAAGTTTGCCTGCACCTCCCTAAATATCTAGTAATTTAGTCTTTAGCTACAGGCAATGTTCAGTTTTGAATGGTCCTTTCACATAGCACTCTTTGTAAGGTCTATCACCTGGAGGTAACCTGGTCTAGGAACACTAGATGCTTGTTTGCTTTGCAAACTCTAGCTTTAATGAGGAATTCACAAGAGTGTATTAGCTTGGTTAATACCTCGTACAGAATTTGACAGCATTTATTTTAAAGCATTTTTTTCTGGGACTTCTGATTTCTTGCCACCAGACATCTATAATTTATGAATTCCTAAGTAGGTCCCAGTGCTCACTCAGCCATCCATGTCCTAGCCTTCTAATTACTGTTACTCTTCAAAAGTTGCTCCCCCTTTCCCTGTGTCTATCCTTTTTTTAAAAAAAGAAAAAAAAACAGGATTTCTCTGTGTAGCTATTGAACCTGTCCTGGAACTCGCCAGGGCTGTAGACGAGGCTTGCATTGAACTCACAGAGATCAGCCTGCCTCTGCCTCCTGAGTGCTGGGATTAAAGGTGTGCGCCACCACCGTCCGACCCATGGCTATCTTTCTATTGTTTCCATGTGCATGTACTTTATTCCATCATGTTTACAGATAGCACAGGTTTTTGTTTTTGCTTTTGTTTTAACTGAACAGTATATCCTGATTCAGTCAGTCCCCAATAGATCGAATACAAGATTGTTGCTGCAAACAGTACTGTGGTGAATAACCTTGTTTATTGCATCATTTTGTGCAATGTGGGGAATTTTTTGTGTTTGTGTGGGTGTGTGTATACGTATACGTGTTGGAGTCCATGTTCCTCAGTGTGCAAGTCAAAGGGCAATGTTCATGCGGGTCCTGGGGGTTGAGGTAGCTTGGTGTTAAGCACCTTTACCCACTAAGCCATCTTACCTGCCCAAATGAGGAATTTTTAAAATATCTATTCTTTTGAATGTTTTAAAGACCAAGTCTTTTTTGGGTTTTTGAGATAGAGTTTCTCTGTAGCTTTGGAGCCTATCCTGGAACTAGCTCTTATAGACCAGGCTAGCCTCAAACTCACTGAGATCCATCTGCCTCTTCCTCCCGAGTGCTGGGATTAAAACCCTGCCCCGCCACCACCCAGCAAGACCAAGTCTTTAAAGATATTGTTTATGTCTCTAATACAGCAAAACAGAAAATGAAATTTAGAGGCTTAACCAGTTTTGACATTTTGGGTTGAAAAGTAGTAGGTTTTGTTATTGTTGTTGTTGTTGTGGCTTTTGTTTCTTTGGTAGGGTTTTTTGGTTTGGAAAAATTTTGTTATTGCTCCTTTCTTTTTGTTTTGAGGCAGGGTGTTGCTTGAGCAAATAGCTTAAGCTGGGCTGGAACTGGAATGCAGGTTTCTCTTGCTTCAGCCTTCCAAGTACTCGGGTTACAGATATATGCCCTGCTCAGCTGAGACATGCTTCTTCTTGGAAGTTGTTCCCAACACTTTAAGTCCTTATCACACCAATACTGACTGGACTAATCAGGAGGGTACTGATACCCTCTCCCGTGAGTGTGGTCATGCTGACCCATCTTAAGAACCAGAGACCATCTACTGGGAGAACATGACAATCTGCTTAGACCACTAGCACCATTGGATATAGGGCTCGGTTTGCATTAAAGCCAAGCATTTTTTATATTTCAGCCCTATATTTACAGTATTAGTTTACTGTGAATTTAATGATGCTTTTCCTTTTTCCCTTTCAAGAGTGTTGAATTTCATGAAAGAGGAAAGAATCACAAGGAAAATGTGGCCAAGAGGATCAGTGAGGTAATTTCAGTTGGCTCTTTGTTCATTTGTCTCTGCAAACGTTGATCCCATCTCTCACGTTCACCTTCACGTGTGTCTTACGTAGATTAAACAGAAAAGTTTGGACAAGGCAAAGGAAGAAGAAAAGGCATCCAAGGAGTTTGCTGCGATGGAGGCAGCTGCCCTGAAGGCATACCAGGAGGACCTGAAACGGCTTGGCTTAGAGTCAGGTAAGACATCAGCAAGACACTTCAAAACTAACATCCCAGGTCGTGCTGAGGGACCTTTTCATTGGTTCCATATAGGAGTTACGTACTGGAAATTATTCTAGTGTTTTTATTGTGTGTCATGGTCTTATTTAGAATTGGACTTTGAAATGCTTATGTTTGCTTATGTTTTGTGCTGTTGCTATTGTGGTTGTTGTTTTGTTGTTGGCGTACCATCTCCAAGTATATCCTGGACTAGTCTTGAACTTGTGGGCTTCCTACCTAGGCCTTCTGAAATTAAAAAGCACGAGTCACCATATCTGGCTTGTTTTGCTTTTTATACTATGTATTTACTTACCTGTTTGTGTTGGATGGAAGTGTGGAGTTCAGAGGACAGCTTGGAGGAGTCGGTTCTCTCCTTCACCATGTGGATCAGACTCGGGTCACAAAGCTCAGTGGAAGGGCCTTAAGGCTCTGAGCGATCTTACTGGCCCCATGTTTTGCTTTTAATGCTTCATCTTTTGGTGCCTTTGTTCATATCGGCCGTATTACTTTAACAGTTCCCTACCGTAGCCCTTGCCTAGCTGAATGATTCGTTTCCAAAGCCTTGGGGCTTAGATACTCATTGTTATAGGTACTACTCATTTAAAAAAAAAAATCTGCATTATAATTATGTATTATCCGACTTTACCTCCAGCAGGCAGATTTATTTTGAGGGTAGGTAAGGGGTGTTATTGAATGTTTCTGTGTGGTTGAATTGAAGCTCTAAAGCAGAAAGTTTTTGTGAGATTTCTTCCGTAACAAATTTTATCAGTTACTTTTCTAGTTACAAGACATCTGTCAGGAGCAACTTAGAGGATAAATGTTCAGCTGTGGACAGTTTCAGAGGTTTGAGTCCACCGGGACTGGGCTGGCACGTGGTGGGTAAGCAAGATGGAAGCTTGTTCCCACGATCCAGACCAGAAGCAGAGAGAACAGTCCAGAACCTGGAGGTTGATACAAATGTGGAGCACGGGCCACCACTGATGTCCCTGCACCAACCAGCCCCACCTCCTACAGCTCCACAGCAGGTCAAGCGGTGGTAGCACATGCCTTTAATCCCAGCACTCGGGAGGCAGGAGCAGGCAGATTTCTGTGAGTTCAAGACCAGCCTGGTCTACAAGAGCTAGTTCCAGTACAGGTTCCAGATCAGCAGAGAAACCCTGTCTCGAAAAAACTGAAAGAAAAAAAAAGCTCCACGGCAAGGTGGGAACTAAATTCTTAAACCAGATATAGAGTGTGTGTGTGTATGTGTGTATACATACGTGTGTGTGTGTGTGTGTGTGTGTGTGTATACATACATATGTGTGTATACATATACATATATATATATATATTCTTTTTTTTTAATATGTAACCCAGATTGGCCTTGAACTTGTGATCCTCCTGCCTCAGCTTCTTTCAACAAATTCTACCAGTGTGGTGTGCACCACCACAACCAGCTAGAGTAGATCTTGATTGTTGGCCTCGTGTAGTAGTTCAGAAGTTTTGGTTTTTGGATTTTGTGAACCACTGACTTTATTGACCTAAAGTAGACAGCATGATTCATAGGCACACGGGTGACCCTGAAAGAGCGGCATCATCACAAAAGCTTGCCCCATCCTAGGTCGCTCCCTTGCAGCATGGAGCCTCTTTTCAGTTAGCTTTTCACTTCAGTGCCTTCCCCCAATTCCCCGCTGGAACATGGTGGAATAATAGCCCATCAGCATGTACTTGACCATCGCCGTGTCAGTTGTTTGTCTCAGTGCATGACCGGGTCAGGCTATTCTCAGCTCCACGGTAGCGGTGGCGTGATCACCATCTTTCCACCTCTCTTTCCTGAGGGAGGTTTCCTGAGCCTCGCAGGAGGCGAGATAGAGAAGAGCCCTGTGTGAGCATTGGGTTGTTGTACTATATTGTCACTTATTCTCAGTAATTTAGCCAGTTTTGACTCTCTCCATTAATAACCATGGCCACTGTAAAAAGTCGTCTTCCGCAAACAAGGACTGGAGCAGTCACACTGCTGGCCACCTGACTAGCACCTTGTGATACAACACAAGCCATTGCAGAGGGGGCTTCCTGCTCAGCTCGAGCCAAATTCTTCAGCGTGACGTATACTCTTTAGACTCTAATAAAAAGAACTCTTAATTATGGTTTTAAGCAGAATATTGCTTTCATGAAATAAGAATAATTGTCAGTTTAGTGTGTTCTAAATGTTAGTGTTTAAGGAAAAGAAGGGGCATGTAGTTCCAAAAAGTCATTTATTTATTAATAAATGAGAGTCTCACTGGTTAATTTAAACTGGCCTCAAGCAGGCTCCCAAATTCTGGAATTACAAGCATGCATCATTACACCCAACTGAATAGAAAACATTTTGAGAGGAAAAATTAGTTAGGTATTTTCTGGACAGTTGGAGAAGTGTTAGTTGGAAACTCATCTTATTAATTTAATGTATATATAGATTAAAAGATTCCACTTAAGTGCCCATTTAAGGTTTTTGTTTGTTTGTTTTTGGTTTTTTGAACAGGGTTTCTCTGTGTAACCCTGGCTGTCCTGGAACTCACTCTGTAGACCAGGGTGACTTCGAATTCAGTAGACCAAGATGGCCTCAAGATCCACCTGGCTTTGCCTCCCAAGTGCTGGGATTAAAGGTGTGCACTACCACACTCAGCATAAATTAATTTTGATTATACATAAACATATCTCCTTGTCCATGATGGGGATATTGGTTTGTCTGTTTTGATATAGAGTCTCACTGTATAGCTCTGGCTAGCCTGGAGCTCACTTTGTAGCCTAGGCTGGCCTCAAGCTCAAGATAGGCTGGCTGAGATTCCAGATGTGATTCACTATGCCCCTGTAGCATCCTTCTGGATTATATGTGTTATGTTCTGTGAAAGATCTGCACCCCCATTCATGCCATTCATCACAGCACTCGGGAGACAGAGGCAGGCCGGTCTCTGAGCTCAAGGCCAGCCTGGTCTACAGAGCGAGATCCAGGACAGCCAGGGCTGCACAGAGAAACCCTGTCTCAAAGAAAAAAGAAAAGAATACTGCAGTTTCTCCTGTGTGTATCTTTTTGTGTTTGTTTTTCTCTGTAAGTTCATTTTCTGGATAAGAAATCTGATATCAGATGATGAATGTATTATAATATAGCTGATGCCAAGCTAACTACAAATGTTAGACTGATTTACATTTGTCTAGAAATAAAAAGTTGTTAATTGGTATTGGAAGTGTTAGCAGTTATGAGCAGAAAGCCAGAAAACAGTGTTTTCACATTCATGTACATACCATACGTGAGAGTCGAATTTCATTATACTTTTCAGATTAATCTATAAAAAAACTATATTTATTTGCATTTCTTTGAATATTAGTAAAAGAAAATGTTTATTCTCTGTTAGGATGTTTGATTTTTAATTAATTATCACTAGGGACATTAATTTGTTGTTAGTTTTTCCATTTTTCTGGCATATGTTTTTGCTTTTGTTTCTTTTCATTGTATTTTACAAAAAAAAAATTTAATCATGTTGTCGAATTTAACAGTATTTTTTAGGGTATTTTTTTTAGGTTGTTTTGTTTTGTTCTTTCCGGTATTTTTGGCCTGGAGGGCTTTTGTTTGGCTGTTTTGTTTTTCCAGACAGGGTTTCTCTGTGTAGCCCTGGCTGTCCTGGAATTCACTCTGTAGTCCAAGCTGGCCTCGGACCCAGAGATTTGCCTACCTCTGCTTCCCAAGTGCTGGGGTTAAAAGCGTGCACAACTACTGCCCAGCGTGGCCTAGAATTCATATTGGTGTGAAACAGTGAGAAGCCAGTGGGAAGTAGCTCAATAGCTTTGCCTTTGTTGGCGTGTCCCAGTGTTCTAACACTGATTCCTGTTACCATCAACACTGGCATTTGTTGGTGTAGGCAGGATACCTGTTTCTTAGACAGGGTTTCATGGAGCCCCAGCTGGCTAAGAACCCTTGATAACTAAAGATGGACTTTTAACTCCTGAGTCTCCGTCTCTACCTCTCAAGTACTAGGAGGCATGCACCGTCACTTTTATTTTTGGTTTTTTGAGACCGATTTCTTTGTAGCTTTGGAGCCTGTCCTGGAACTAGCTCTTGTAGACCAGGCTGGCCTCGAACTCACAGAGATTAGCCCCCCTTTGCCTCCCGAGTGCTGGGATTAAAGGCATGCACAACCACTGTCCTTAAATTACCCCTTCTTATCTTTTTTTCTAGACATTCCACAACCAAGTATATCACCAGTGACCAGCACTGTCCAGCCCACCCCTCCATCGAATCAACAGAAAGAGAAGAAAAAGAAAAAGGAAAAGAAAAAGAAAGACACTTCGAAGGGTAGATGGGTGGAAGGCGTAACGGCTGATGGTCACTGTTACTATTATGATCTCATCACAGGAGGTAGGCTGGTAAAGCGTAGAATTACTAGAAAATATAAAAACAGTTTTTGTGTTGAGATTTTTATTTAATATTGATTTAATATTGGCATATGTTAAACAGTAAAAAAAAAACTAACTTCCTTTTTTCCACAAAGCTTAGAAAGTTATAATTTCAACATTTAGAAGGATAACCACAAATTAGAGACTAGCCTAGAATACATAGTGGGACCCATGCCAGCTTGGGGTAAAGAAAAGAAAAATTGTAATAAGAATCCCCTGCTTATTGCAAATCAGTGCCATGATTAAAGTTTCCTAAATTCCTACCTGAACTTGGTGGCGCACACCTGTAATCCCAGCACTGAGGAGGCAGAGACAGGTGGATCTCTGTGAGTTCAGGGCTAGCATGGTCTACAGAGGAAGTTCCAGAACAGCCAGAGCTATTGTAGAGAGACAGGCCCTGTCTCGAAAAACCAAACCAAAAAAGAAAATCTTTTCAGTTTCTTACAAATTTCCACTTTCTTGAGGACAAAATCGGAGCTCTGCAGAAATATAACACTTCACCTGAGGGTCAGACCCTTCACATCTCTGTCAGTCTGTGTCGTAACCTACAAGGGTCTTGAAATAAAATGCCAATAGGAAAGATTTTGTTGGTTTTTTTTCCCCCATGAGACAGGGTTTCTCTGTATAGTTCTGACTGTCCTGAAACTCACTCTGTAGACTAGACTGGCCTCAAACTCACAGAGATCCACCTCCTCCTACCTTCCTAGTGCTTGGCTTAAAGGCCGCACAACCACCACCTTACTGGAAAGGTTTTCTAACTAGGAACTTTGGAAACCAAAAGCTGCTCTTTTTTTTTTTTTTCTTTGCGTAGCTGTCTTGATTGACTATTTAATTTGGGCTGGTGAGGTGATTCAGTGGGTGAGGTACCTGCCTCCAAGCCTGACGACCTGAGTTTAGTCCCCAGAACCCACATGGTAGAAAGAGAGAGCAGTCTCCCACAGATTGTCCTCCAGCCTACACTCATATACACAAAAAGTAAGTGGAACTGATGAATTTTGAGAATTTTCCTTTGTATTAATGTTAAATACCAGTTTCAGTAAAGTATATGAGTTTTTCCATAGGAGTATTAAAAACATTTTTGTATTCTCTTAAAACTTAATACATTTTTAAATATCCCATTTATATTCTGGGGCAAAGAAGGTTTGCCTGGCCTCAAATTCACAGCAGTGCTCGACTCAGCGTTTCAAATGCTGATATTATAAAGATGTGTCACTGTTCACTTAGACTCCATTTTTAGGTGAATAGGTGTCTTCCTTTTGTGTTGCTGTGACAAAGTACCATGACCAAAGCAACTTATAAAAGAAAGCATCTATTTGGGCTCACAGCTCAGGTTAAAAGTTGGTGCGGGAGAATTGTCTGTGTTCTGTCAATCATGTTTTAAATAAAACGCTGATTGGCCAGGCAGGAGGTGTAGGTGGGAAAACCAGACAGGAAGTGGAAATGATGCTAGGAGAGCAGGAGGAATTCTAGGGAGGAGGAAGTTGATTCCCCCACTCCTGCCCAGACCACCGAAGCAGCAGGATGTAAGCTGCCCCACTGAAAAAGGTACTGAACCACATGGCTAACATAGATCAGAAAAATGGGTTAATCAAGATGAGAGAGTTAGCTAATAAGTAGCCTGACCTAACGGGCCAATCAGCTTTATAACTTACAGAGATTTCAGTGTGATTTTTCTCTGGGACTAAATAGCTGGGGGGCCGGACAGGACAGAAAACCCCCAACAAGCAGGCCCTCTCATGTTACAAAAAGTCCATAACCATCATGGCAGGGAGCATGGCAACAGGCAGGCATGGTGCTGGAGCAGTCACAGAGCTTACATCTCATCCACAGCCAGGAGGCAGAGAGAGTGAGCAAACTGGGAATGGTGTAGGCTTTGGAGACCTCAAAGTCTCCACCCCAGCAACACATCTCCAAGAGGGCCACACTTTTAATCCTTCCCAAACAGTTCACCAGTTGGCCACCAAGTGTTCAAATACATGAGCCTCTGGGGCCATTCTAATTTAAACCACAATAACAAGGCATCTCACAGAAGAATTAAACACATAAAAATGGTGAAAGAAAAGAAAGAAAGAAAGAACGAAAGAAAGAGAGAAAGAGAGAAAGAAAAGAAAGAACGAACCTACCAAGTACAAATGCTCTAACCTCTAAGAAAAGTTCTACCAGACCCTAATAATTACTGTGGGAGTTTCAGTAACTCTTGACCATGCTGCTATTTCTAAGTTATGTGGTATTCACAAGTATTCTGTGCAGTACCACTAAGGATATATGTTGTTTCTTTCATTTTTTTCAATAATAAACTATTTTATAGTGTTTTGTATATAATAAGGACTCTTAGGGATTTTTGCCTAATTAAATTTTGGGGACTTGTTTTATTTTAAAGCAAAATTGTTTTACAATGTATTTATTTTGTTTTAAGCATCTCAGTGGGAGAAGCCAGAAGGATTTCAAGGGAACCTAAAAAAGGTAATTATATTTATGCCGTCTTTGCTTTATTCTCGCAAGTGATTGGCTTCTGGAGTCGGCAAGTTGGGTTGGGTGGCTGATTGGCTTTGTGGTGCTGGGGCTTGGTCCTAGGCCTTGTGAATAGCCACCATTCTACCCCTGAGCCAAACAAACTCTGATTGCTGTGGCTTTTTGTAGAATTTTGTTAAGCAAATTTATTTCCAAATAAGCAGGTTCTCTTCATCCCCCCAGCCTCGCTTCTTTCTTCCTGTAATGCTTGTGTTAGAAGGGTACATACACAACCATACAGGATAAATGATTAGTCGATTTTCAGTCGCTTCTTGTTTACATGTCTGTCCAACTGGACAGAATTCCTGACTTTGAGAGAGAGGACACTTTCTGTTTGAAAGTTAGTAGTGACTAACAAAAGCCGGGCTGCGTTGCCATGAACTTTGTCACCGCTCTTGACTGCAGGTACAAAAGACAGGACAACACGTCTGCCTTCGTCAGTAGAGAGCGCTGTCGTTCTTCTCACTGTGTTGTTTTCTCCCTCCTGTTAGACAGCAGCAAGGGCCATTTGGGTAGAAGGTTTAAGTGAAGATGGTTACACCTATTACTATAATACAGAAACAGGAGGTGAGTGTTACCTTTGATTTTTTTGTTTTGTTTGGTTTGGTTTGGTTGGTTGGTTGGTTTTTCCAGACAGGGTTTCTCTGTAGCTTTTGGAGCTGTCCTGGAACTGGCTCTTGTAGACCAGTCTGGCCTCGAACTCACATCTGCCTGCCTCTATCTTTGATTATTTTAACTTAAAACTTTACCCAAAACTGCATATGAGCTATTTTGTACCAAGTACATATTATCACTTATAAGGGGTACTTAAAATATTTCTATGTATGTATTTCTATGTATGTATTAATATATACATATTATACTAATTAATAATTATTAATATTAGTGATCAATGCTATTCCTCTTTTTTTAAAAAAAATGAATTTATACTCGCTATATATGAGCCTGGTGCCCAAGGAAGCCTGAAGAAGGCATCAGATCCCCTGGAACTGGAGTTGCGGGTGATTTTGAGTTACCATGTGGGTGCTGGAATTGAACCCTGGTCCTCCCTGAGCAACAAAAATTAACTGTTGAACTAGGTGGTGGTGGTGGCACATTCCTTTAATTCCAGCACTTGGAAGGCAGAGGCAGGTGTTATAAGTTGGAGGCCAGCCTAGTCTACAAAGCAAGTTCCAGGACAGACAGGGTTCTTACACAGAGAAACCCTGTCTCAAAACAAACAAACAAAAGGCATTTGCAAATTTAAAAAAAAAAAACTTCAACTCTCTAAAATTACTGAGTCTCATGATTGATTTAATAATTTTCCTTCTAAATACCTATAGTTATCACCTAGTTTGACTTTTGTCGTGGTAAGGATCAAACCTGAGAGCCAGTGCATGCTAGCATGTGCCCTCTTATTGAACTACACCTAGGCCTTCACCATTTTCTTTTAAGAAAACAAAACTGAGCCGGGCAGCGGTGGCACAAGCCTTTAATCCCAGCACCTGGGAGGCAGAGGCAGGTGGATCTCTGTGAGTTTGAGGCATGCCTGGTCTGCAAAGTGAGTTCTAGGACAGTCAGAACTGTTACACAAAGAAACCCTGTCTTGAAAAACAAAACAAACAAAAACAAAAGCCTTGTGTTAGGGATGTTGTTTAATGGGTAGAGTGTTTGCAGAGTCCTGGGTTTAACCTATAGTATTACAAAAATCTGGGTATGGGTATTAGGAAGGTGGCCTGTTAGGTAAAATTCTTGCTGTCCAAGTGTGAGGGCCTGGGTTCAAATTCCCAGCACCCACATAGCAAGGTGTGGATGCAAGCACCTGTAACCCCAACGCTGGGGAACAGAGTTGAGCAAATCCCAGGGCTTGTTGTGTGGAGGTAAAGCAGGCAGACCTTGAACTCATGGAAATCCTCCTGCCTCTCTCTCCTAGTCTCCTTCATTCTTAAAATTGTCTCAGTTGGTTAACAAATTGTATAGTTCCTCTCCTTTTCGTTAACTAAAGGTAGAGACAAGACTGTTAGAGACTTGGCTGGTCCTAAAACCCAGTGACCACTAGATGGCAGTGGAGTTCAGCCAGTTGAGACACCTTTACTGTAATAGTATAGTCATCTCTTCACTCTGTTGTAGGGACTCCAGAAAACCCTACCATAAGTTTCAGGAAATACCTTTAAAGTCATTATCACTATGTTTCTTAAAATTGTTTTCAGGTAAACTGAAGATGTTTAAGACTTATCACCCACTCCCCAGTTCCTTCCCATTGGAGTTAGGGTTTATGAGTTTAGTAAGTGCAGGTCGTCCTACGTTTCTGAATGATAGAAAAAAATAAGAGGTTTTTGAGCTCTTTTCTTCATGAAGTGTGTGTGTATAATGCGGTATTATTTAGTAATTGTACATGATAAAGAAAGTGTTATACTGCTAAGTATTGCTAAATAAGTAATACAGTTATTAAACTGTGTTGATCAGAGTCCAAGTGGGAGAAGCCTGATGACTTCGTCCCACACGCTGGTGGCGGGCCTTCTAGTAAGGACAGTGAAAAGTCCCCTGACATCCTGGAAGAGCCCAAGTCCTCAGATTCCCACAGTGACTCTGACGGCGAACAGAAGAAGGCCGGGGAGGCCACTGCAGACACGAAGAAACTAATCATCAAGTTTAAGGTAAAATCCAAGAGGACTTGTTAAGAAAAATCATGTCTAGGGATGTGGTTGTATTACATTCAGTCCCAGCCCTTGGGAAGCAGAGGCAGGCAGCTCTCTTGAGTTTGAGGCCAGCTGACCTACATAGAGAATTCCAGGTCAGCCAGACAACAGTGAGACCCTGTCTAGGGAAAAGGAGTGAGAAAATCGTGTTGCTTATCATGTGGCATATTCTGGTGACCTCAGTACTTGGGAAGCTAAGATGGGAGAATTGGAATAGAAGTTCAGGATCAGCAAGCTTCTCGTGGATGGTAGTTTACAGAGGCTGGAAACCTGGTACGTGGATGGTGTACACACCAGAGTGGGAAAGTGGGTTAAAGGGCTTTCTTAGACCAGTGAAGATAGGTCAAAAGAACCAGTCCTGTGTCTTCTATGGGGACTGCTTCTGCCCCAAGGGGGAGTTAGCCTATTCCAATCCCCGCTTACACACCTGAGACAGTTTCTCTATGCAGCCCTGGCTGTCCTATCGTTTACTCTGTAGATCAGTCTGACCTCGAACTCACAAATATTTTCCTTCCTCTACCTACCTTCAGAGTCTGGTAAAAGACATGCACCACCACTGCCTTTATGTACCATCATGGTGCATGTTTTAAAAGTATCCTTAAACATATGCATTAAAGTTTGAGATAGTGAAAACCCTGATCAAGTTCTTCCGTGTACATTTATTGTTATGTGGAAATTTAAAAACACTAATGAATGGGTGTTAGTCTTAAGAAGACCTTTTAAGGAAATTTGGGGGTTGTCTATAGCAGTTCTGCTTGAAGTGTGTTGTTTATTTTTATTGGCCTTTGCATTTCAGGAAAAAAATAAAAGTACTGAAAAAAGAACTGACCCAGAAATACAAAAAGAAAAAGGTAGCCCCAAACAGAATCCACCGAATACAAGTGAAGAAAAGCCTAAAACGCTTAAGAAATCAACAAACCCTTACGGGGAGTGGCAAGAAATCAAACAAGAGAGCGAGTCTCAGTAAGTACCTGAGAGGTCATCCCCTGCTGTGCCCAAGCACCTCAGCCTATTGCAGCCACAAACCGCATGTACGAACCGCATGTGCGCTGTGCTCCTTAGATCTGTAGCTCTCCCTGCATTTCTAAAATAGTCTGTTTTAACATATGGAACAGCGGTTGTTTTAAAGGAAAGGAGTGATTGTGCTGTGTCCTACCAAAGCCTCACCACATTCACACACTCATCATTTTTTTTATCAGAAAAACAAATACTTGCAGTAAATACTTTGCAAGGTACTTTATCTATAGAATGTGTTTGAAGGCAAAGCTTTTACCCTCTTATTCTCTTGAAATGTCTCGCTATACTTCAAAGTTTTTTGTTTTCTTTTGTTTTTTAATTTATTTAACTTTATTTTATGTGCATTGGCATCAGATCCCCTGGAACTGGAGTTACAGACAGTCGTGAGCTGCCCTGTGGGTGCTGGGAATTGAACCTGGATCCTTTGGAAGAGCAGCCGGTGCTCTTAACTACTGAGCCATCTCTCCAGTCCCAAAGTTTTGTTTTTTATGTGGATGTGGATTTTGTTCTGGTTGGTTTATTGGTCAATTGGTTTGATTTGGGGGTTTTGTTTTGCTTTTTGAGTCTTGTGTAGCCTCAGACTAGCCTTGAACTCCTGATCTGGCCTCACCTCATGGGTGCCAGTATTAACAGGTGTGTGCCACCATAGCTGACCCTTCCAAATTTTTAAACTCATATTGAAAGCAGAGTTTGTCAACAGTTTAGCATAATTGTGCTAAAGGTGATACCTGACTAATGGTACTGGCTTAACTGCTCAGATAAGTTTTCTTTTTACCAGGTAAGTAAAATCCCTCCCAGGTGTGCATTTTTGTATTTTTTTTAATCCTTTAAAGGAACCTTCCGCCAAGTGGTGGTGGTACATGCCTTTGCCTTTAATCCCAGCAGTTGGGAGGCAGAGACAGGCGGATCTCTGTGAGTTCGAGGCCAGACTGGTCTACAAGAGCTAGTTCCAGGACAGACTCCAAAGCTACAGAGAAACCCTGTCTGAAAAACAACAACAACAAAAAATCATAGAAACCTTCCAGGTGAAGTAGGAAAGGTATATGGATAAAACAGTTATTTCTTAAAGTACTGCTTTGAAAGAATAGTGTAGAATGAATCCTTTTTATGTCCTTTCATGGTGAGTTACTAATTATTAAAATTCTTGGCCGAGGGTGGATTGCACACTGATGGCACCAACACATGGGAGACAGAGGCAGGGTTTGCTTCAGAAGCATGGGCTACAGAGTGAATCTTAACTCAAAGCTACCAGAACCCAAACTATACCCTGCTTTTTAATGAAAAGGCTGTACTTTTTTCATAGTGAAATAATGGGAGTACTGAACAACTCTGTATACCAGACTTTATCCCCCAGCTATGACATTGGTGCCTCTCCCTGGAAGTTACTGGATAATCAGCCAGTCCATTCCCTTCTTCAGTTCTTGTCACTTAAAACAGGAAGATGGTTTTATACCCACTTATGTGTGAGAAAGGATTGGGGTGGGCAAAAATGTCACCTGATTCATAAGCAAGGAAAAGAGACTGGGAGGAGAGGTCACAGCAGGAGGTTCAGGGGGCAGAGAGTGAGGGAATGAGGGAGGAGAATCTACTAAAACACTTTGTTCAGATTGCTAGCATGATGTCTAATTCCTTGTAAGTTGAGGTAACACTTTTTAATTAAAAAGTAGGAAAATTGTCCTCTGTAGCATCTCCTATTTCAAAATTGATGTATCTTTCTCATGCTTGTTGAATTTCAGGCTCGCTGGACTATAGCAAGCTCTCTTGTCGGGCTGTCTTTGGACCTCCAGCCTGTAAATAACGGCCTGCAGACTTATTATTAAAGAAAGCTTGGCCTTAGCTTGACCTTTTTCCCAACTAGCTCTAATAACTTAATTAAACAGTATTTTTTTAATCTACATTCTGCCTCATGGCTCGATTACCTCCTCTTAGTATGGCACATCTGACTTGCTCAGAGTCTCCTGGTGAAATCCGGCACCTAGATTCCCCCTTCTAGTATCTCTGTCTCTCCTGCCCAGCTATTGACCATTTAGCTCTTTTTTAAACCAATCAGGAGGTGCCTTAGGCAAAGACACCTTTACAGTATAAAAAATATTCCACAACCTAGGCAGCTTAGTATGTAATAGATTGTTTCCAACTTTATAAGTAGATTAACCTAGTTTCTTTTTTTCTTTATTTACTTATTTAGATTTTTCAAGACAGGGTTTCTCTGTGTAGTCTTTGCTGTCCTGGAACTTTCTCTGTAGCTCAGACTGTCCTCAAACTCTCTAACCTAGTCTAAATTAAATTAAATTTAAATTTAGAAAGAGCTAAGACAGTCCTGGTTAACTTTTGTCATGGACCAGTTCTTACTCCCAAGCTCATTACTAATAATTTCTGAATGAACATGGCCTGAACTGAGTGAATACTGATGCGGATACTGGACAGGGGAGGATGCTACAGTACTGCTCTATATCAACATTGATCCAGAGTATCAGCCAGAGCACCTGCTCCAGCTGCATCCTGCAGTGTCTGCTGTACAGAAGACAGCGAGGACAGCCATCATAGAACATAAATTAAAGCTTTTCTTTATCTAAAGGTTCCTTAACTTATTATGGGTGCTTATTGCTCTTGGAGAGGACCTCGGTTTGGTTCCCAGCATCCACATGATAACTAACAACCATCTGTAACTCTGGTTCCAGAAGGAGATATCTGGTTCTGATATCTCCTGGCCTCTGTGGCCACTTCACACATGTGGTATACAGACACACATGCAAGCAAAATATCTATCACTCATAAAATAAGAATAAAATCTAAAGTGAACTCTGGGAAGCATATTTTCAAAAAATTAGATTCTTCATCTCCCATCTCTGATTTTCTCTGTCTGTCTGCTTTATTCTCTATCTACTGAATTCTTCTCTCCAAAAAGGATATTTGGTCCCCAGCAGGCTTTATAGTCTCAGCTGCTGAAAATGATCTTTCTGCTCTGTGTTCAGAACTCTGATGGGTGGATTTGATGAGCTAGCTCTTCCATAGACTAGTTCACTGTCTAGAGCCGTGATTCTCAACATGTGGGTCGCAACCCCTTGGGAGTCGAATGGTCCTTCCACAGGGGTCACCTAAAACCATTGGAAAACATAAATATTTGCATTAGGATTCATAACAGTAGCAAAAAAAATCACAGTTAGGAAGTAGCAGTGAAAATAGTTTTATGGTTTGGGGGGTGAGGCCACCACAGCATGAGGAAGTGCCTCCCCCCCCCCCACCGGGGGGGGGCGCCTGGAGGGATAGCTCAGAGGTTAAGAGCATTGCCTGCTCTTCCAAAGGTCCTGAGTTCAATTCCCAGCAACCACACGGTAGCTCACAGTCATCTGTAATGGGGGTCTGTGCAGGCATACACACAGACAGAGTATTGTATACATAATGAATAAATATTTTTTTAAAAAAAGGGTCACAGCGGTTGAGAACCGCTGAGCTAGGGGATAGGGTACTGATGGGCTCATGTTAGGGAACTGATTTCTGGTCCAGCCAGATTGTTTTTTACTGACCATGTGGATAGTCGCAGGGCTATTTCTCAAAATAAAAACATGCTAGGCAAATAATTCATTGAGTCTACCACAACAGGACATTAAGGTTCCATTCTTTTCCATCTTGTGTTATGTAAACCTTCAGAATTTCTGTGTTTATACTGCGTAGAGTATATGAGCGGAGTGTTTTCTAAGATGCTGTATCCTTTGTGCAGCAGAAACAGAACTAATGAGACCTGTCCTAGCCCATATAAGTCAGAGTTCGGTGTGTTGAGACTAAAATTAGTATTTTAAATCAGCTAGAACTAGGCAGTGCACATCTAACTCAGGCCGGAGGCTCAGGAACTCAGGGTCATTCACAATGACATTAGAAAGTACAGGGTTAGCCTGGACTACATGAGACCCTTTCTCAAAAAAGCCAGAACAGGAGCAGCATAGTGTTCCTGATGACCAGCCTCTGATCCCCTCAGTGCTATGGTTGGCTTGTGGTGCTTCACTGGCTTGTGGTTTATATGCAGACATTTACCTAATCTGTCAGGTTATAGTTTAGATTTCTTTCTGTTCCAGAGAAGAGGTCGATTTGGAACTTCCAAGCACTGAAAACGAGTATCTGTCAACTTCAGAAGCTGCTGCTGGAGAAATCAAAGTGGTATTTAAAGAAAAAACAGTCTCTTCTCTGGGAATTGCAGCAGATGGGGTGGCTCCAGTCTTCAAAAAGAGAAGAATTGAAAATGGGAGATGTCGGAATTTAAGACAGCGAGCTGACGATGAGTGAGTGACTGGGAACGTTGTGAGTGCTGTGGACAGAGGAGACGGCACTTTCCGAGCCTCTCTGTGCTTTGCGTACTATAGTGCTGCAGTTTACATTCCTGCTAAATGTATTTTGTGTGACTCAGAATAAATCTTTTTTCATGTGAAATTTATTTTTGTTCCTTAAGTGGAAGCCTACCACATTGCATTGTAATATAGTGTATTATGTTCAATGTCTAAAATTGCTAATTATATGATAATTTAAGATGCTATGTATCTGTTATTTAAAACTTGGGGAAGACCCTAGCTCTGTTCTTATTCATATGAGCATACCTTGTCCTGTATTGAAAATGCATTATTTCCACACACTGAAATTAACCTGTTACCTGGGAAATACGAATCAGACAGAGACGTGCACAGCCCCATGGCAGTCTGGTTTTGATGGTCCTTCCTGAAGCCTGGATGTAGTATGCATAGCAACTTGTCTTACTCAGTTTAAAACCAAAGACCAGAAGCAGGAGCCTCTTGGGTACTAAAGAGCAGAGTGACGGCTGGACCAGGGGTCAGCTCACAGCGCAAAGTGTGAAAAGTGTTAACTTGGAGCCAAGCATCAGGGAACTAGAGATGGAAATGCAGCTTCTGCCATGGCATTCTAAAACAGTCCTTTCCCAGTCAGGCCTCCTTTTCATAGCCCTAGGTCCACTGGAAGGTTTATCTAAGGTAATGTAAACAAAAGGCTTGAACTAAAATAGGCTTCGTGGTCCACTTAGATGGTTCCCATTTTTTGGCTACATTTCTTAGTAGAAATTTCATATTCTATTTGAAGTACTTTCCTTTATATTTTTGCATATTTTTATTTATATTTTTCTTAAGTTGTACAGTAATGTAACTTTTGGTAGCAAATATTTGTCTTTGCTAGTATATATGTAAGAATAGCTTATTAAAACCATAAATTAAATATTGGTCCTTTTTTCTAATATGAATCAAAGCTTCCTTATCATTTGCAAAATAGCATTTGGAGATTAATCTTTGCAATTATTCAGGCCTAAACTTTACATTTTGAAGCATTTTACAGTTTATTTTGTGAAGAGTCTTGCTGTATTGTCTAGGCTGACCTCAAATCCAGATTCTTAGGCCTAAGATTACTCAGGAGTTCTGAAATTAACAGGTATACCACCATCACACCTGAGTGTTTGATAGCTGAGGTTTTTTTTGTTGTTTCCGAGGCAGGAATTCTCTGTATCTTTGGGGCCTGTCCTGGATGGAACTAGCTCTTGTAGTTGAGTTATTGTTCTTTGACTGGGGTAGTCAAGGGTTTGAGTCAGGGTCTCCCTATATATCCTAGACTACCTTCAAACTCGCAGTTAACATCCTGCCTAAACCTTAGTGGCCTTAGTGCTGGAATTGTAGGCATGAGCCAACAGACCCCTCTGGTTTACTGGGTTTGGGGGGGTTTATTTTTGTTTGGTTTGTTTTTTGAGACCCTCCTGTCTCCCAGGCTAGCCTGGAACTCCCTAGGTAGTTTGGCCGAAGATGCCGTTTTGAATTTAACGATCCTCATGTTTTCTGCTTCCCCAGAGCTGGGATTATAGTTGTATGCTGCCCCTCCCGGTTTATATGGTGCTGGATTGTGTTGGACAAGCACCAACTGAGCCATATTCTACCATGTTTTTAAATTTTGATAGGTTATTTGTCATGTAGCCAAGGAGTATATATTATTAGTCCGTGGCGCTTCTCAACTAGAAAAGACTAAAAGTGTCGTGTATTTATGCTTTAGTCACACTTAGCTCCTATAAAACGCGATATTGAAGACCTTTGTTAAATTTGTATTTGTTTCTTCTGAGACGGAGTCTCACAGTGTATCCCTGGCAGGCCTGGACTATGTAGATCTGCCTGCCACTCACAGTGAACCTACTTAACTCTGCCTCTCAAGTGTTAGGATTAAAGATATTTACCACCAGACCTGGTCCCCCAGGTTGTTTTAAGGGGCAGTGGAATTAGTGTGTGTATAAGGCACTTGGGGAATACTGTTAATACTTTAGAGTATATACAGATGGACACAAAATAAAAATAAACAAGGACCAAGTTCCCACCCACCCATACATGACTTAGTCCTTTATCCTTGTCCCGCCTCTCTCATTGAGTCCCAACTTCCATGTGCAGTCATGTTGAATCTACATGCTTTACTTAAAACAGCAATTAAAGCTACTGGCTTTTAGTCCCCAAAATAGCTTAAATTCACTGGGTAGTGGTAATGATGGCTATACAGTGTGGCTAGACTAGGGCTGGGGACATGGTTTAGTTATTGAGTGCTTGCCTACCATTCCTAACACCCTAGGTCAGTCTCCAGTGCGCTCACACACACACACACACACAAGCGCGCGCACGTGTGCACACGCAGAGTATCTAGTGATACTCAACTGTAAATATGGGCTGGAGAGAAATTCCTCAGGACTCCTCAGGAAAACCTTAGTTCACATCCAGAGCTTCCCCCCTTTTTAAAATTATTTTTATCTTACGGGCATTGGTATTTTGCCTGGTGTAGTCTGTGTGGGAGTGTCAGATCCTGAGTTACAATATGAGCTGCCATGTGGGTGCTGGGAATTGAACCCGGGTGTTCTGGAAGAGCAGTCAGTGCTCTTAACCGCTGAGCCACCTCTCCAACTCCAGAACCCCCTTTGTAAAATGTCAGCTGTAGCGAGGTAGTGGTGGCATGTGACTTTAATCCCAGCACTTGGGAGTCAGATCCAAGTTCGAGACCTGAGAAGTCTGTCGAACAAGCTCCAAGACAGCCAGGGCTACACAGAGAAATGCTGTCTTGAAAAACCAAGCTAGCTATGGTGCTTCACTCTTTATAGACATTTTCTCACCATCATATCTATTGAGTGCTTTTTTTTTTATTTTACCGTGTTAATTTTTAAAATTTTGTGTGCAAGTCTGTTTACCAAATCCTTGTGGGTACCCAAAGAGGTCCAAGAGGATGGTGGATTCCCTGAAGCTAAAGTTAGAGGCAGTTGTAAGCTGCCCAGTATGGTTGCTGAAAACCAAACTAGGGTCCATTAGAAGAACTGCAAGCTGTTTTGACCACTGAGACATTTCCCAAGCCCCTCAAGTACTTTGTTTTAATAAAGGAACGTTTTATTTTGATGGAAGGATTGAGTATGTGTCTGGCACAGCGTTTCTATGGAAGTTCTCTCCTCCCCCGTGTGGGTTCTATATCAAACTCAGACTGAGAACAACTCAGGTTTATCAGGTTTGGCAGCAAACACCTTCAACACTGGGCCGTCTCACCTGCCCCCTATTGAGTATATTTTCTTTTTAAATTTAGTGTGTGTGTGTGTGTGTGTGTGTGTGTGTGTGTGTGTACATGCATATATTTGAGTGTAAGCACACACATGCCATAGCACACATGTGAAGGTCAGAGGACAAGCTTGTCTCTCATCTCGTTTTAGTTTCATGTTTGCCACTGTGTATGTACCAGGCTAAACTGGGCCCTAAGCTTCCTGGGATTCTTCTGTCTCCCCTCTTCTTGCTGGAGGAGGGCTGGGATTTCAGACTTGTACCCCACATCTGGCTTTATGTGGGCTCTGAGAATTCAAACCAAGTTTGAAAGGCAGAAAACACAAGCCTTGTGTGACAAGTGCTTTATACACTGAGCCTTCACCCCAGCCCAGGGCCCACCTCTTAAAGGCATTTGCACCTCCCAATAGCTGGCAACTAAGCCATATCAAAGCTATAACACGGGGGCTGGAGAGATGGCTCAGCGGTTAGGAACACTTACTGCTCTTCCAGAGGACCTGGGTTCAATTCCCAGCACCCACATGGCAGCTCACAGCTGTCTGAGAGTCCAGTCCCAGGGGATCTAACGCCTTCACACCAATGCACATAAAAGTTAGATAAATCATTTTTTAAAAAAAAGCCATAACAGCAAACAAATATTTGCGTCTACATTTCCAAGTTGGTATATATCCAGCAGAGGAGTTGTGAAGCCAGATACTATTAACACTGCACTTAGAGGGATTCCAACTGTTTCCACAAGTGAAGTGTGTGTGTGTGTGTGTGTGTGTTTCTACCCATAGTTCATAGCATCATTTTACTGTATATTTTCTATGTGTTCCAATACCATCTGCTGGTCTTTTCCCATAGAATTGGCTGACACTCTTACTAAAAAATCTATTGGCTGGGGGCCAACAAGATAGCACAGCCAATTAAAAGCATTTGCTGCACAAATCTGATGAGTTGAGTTTTAATCACTGGAACCCACAGAGAAAACGAACTCCCAAAAATATCCTTCGATCTCCATACTACTGTGAAGACCACATACACTGTGACACTCACATTCATATTCTGTCTCTGTCTCTCTCTGTCTCTTACTCTCTCACATACACACACACACACACATACACACACACACACACACACCATATATACAAAAAAAAGCTTTTTGGGTTTTGTTGTTGTTGTTGTTTATTTTCAAATTGGAGATGCAGGCAGATCTTGGTATGTTTGAGGCCACCCTGGTCTATAAAGTGAGTCCCAGGCCAGCCAGGGCTACACAGAGAGACCCTGTCTTAAAAAATCAAAAACAAGAAGAAAAGAAATTGGGCCATTGAGATGGCTCAACAGGAAAGAGCAGATGCCACAAGCCTGAAGACCCAACTCCCAGAGCCCACACGGTGGAGGAGAAAACAGCCCCTGCAGGTTGTCTTCTGACTGGCACACGAGTGCCAGGACATATTTACCCCTGTCCACACCACCATTTCACACACACAAATCTTACAAGTATCTCTTGTCCATTGATCTATGGGTTTACTTACGCACTTTAGCTGTTTCATTGGTCTACTTTCTCCTGCCAATATCATACTGGTTTGATCGCTGTAGCCCTGCAATAAACATTTTGATTTTGCTTGTTTTTGTTTGGTGGGCAGAGTCACTATGTGACCCAGACTGACTAAGCACACACGGTCTTGCCTCAGCCCCCACATCGCCAACACTGCAGTTCTCTATCGCCGTCTTGGATCTGTAGTCCATGCTCCCAATTTACTCAGGAGATCTTGTCTTTTTCTACTTTCAACTTCCCATGTAGATTAGATCTATGTAAGTCTCTCTTAGTGTCTGTACTGTTGTCTAAGTTCTCTGGGATTGTGGTTTGTAGGCTGGCTTTCTTTGCTTTATGTTTAAAAACCATTTATGCGTGAGTACATGTGATAATTGTCTTTCTGTGTCTGGGTTACCTCACTCAAAATAGTGTTTTCTAACTCCATCCATT